AGGCGAACGCGCCCAACCACCACCCGGCCAACAACAACGGGGGCGGCGGGGCTGCCGGGGGCAACAACCGGGGCGTCCGCAATCCCAACCTCAACCAGAACCCCCTGATCAATGTGCGCGATCGCCTCTTCCACGCGCTCTTCTTCAAGATGGCAGTGACCTACGCTCGCCTCTTCCCGCCCTCCTTCCGCCGCGTCTTCGAGTTCTTCGTCCTGCTCAAGGTGAGGGGCAGCTTCACGGGGAGGAGCAGCCATTTCTCTTGCTAGCCTGCAGCCGGGTGCTAAGGCACAAATTTGCTTGTAAACACGTAAAAGCGTGACTGCTGGAGGTCACAGCCTGTGTTTGGGCCACCTGCACCAAGCTGCCCGTTGAGCTCTCGTGGGCCTCTCTCCTGTGAGAAAGATGTGAATAGTTGTGAGGATCTGTGCTGGTTCCCGCACCACCGGAGCTCTGGTACCAGATCTGGAAGCGAAAAGGAAATCGCTGAGCCAGCTTGCTGGGCAGCCAGGCTGGCGTGGGTCAGGTCCAGGGGTGTGGGCTCAGAAGGTTTCTGTTTCCAACCAGTCTCTCGTTTTGGATGCCTTGCGTACATGAGATACTTGCTTGTTGGAGTTTTGTTGGCATCTTGTCTTTTCTGGAAGTGATTAACGCACAACTCTGTTTTAACCCTATTTCTTTTTAGCAGTTGGGACCCTCAGCTATGTCTGCACAACATCACACCTCTACGTAACAGGGTAAAAACCCACCCGCTTGCTTGCTGATGCGGGTGCAGGAGTGGAGACCCGCAGAGGGGTCTGTCAGTGTCCGCGGGGTGCACTGCCCTTAGGGTAAACCCTGCACTGCGGCTTCCGGGGCGCACGCTGACTTCTCACCAGCACCAATATGGGAAATCGGAGTCAGGGGAGGAGAGGAGAGGAGCGGAGCTTGCCAGGTGACAACAGCACGCTTCTGCTCTGAGCATCTAAGCTTCAGCCCCTTAAAGTGAGAAAATATTTAGAACAAGTTGTCTTATACCGCACATAGGTGTTTTCTGCCCTCCCAAGAAACATTCAGGCTTTTAACATCTTTCTCTTCTTACCCCCTCCCGACATCTAACTGGATTCAAGCAGACAGGGAGACTGGAACGGGGATGGTGCTAACGGCGAGGCTGTCGGGCAGAGCGAGTTGTTCGGCTGTAGCGGTTCTTGCTGGTGTCTGCTGCTGATCAAAGTGCGCGTATTCACAGGGCATCTGCAGAGAGCAGCCTGCTCCTGCCCGCGGGGTTCGGAGTCAGCGCTCCAGCCTGGGCTCGGCTCGGCGCACAGGGTGCTGGCAGGAGGTGAAGCCAGACACCGTGGGCCCGCGCGCTGCTGTTCACGGGCTCCTGAAACGGCTCATGGTTCTGCTTTCTTCATCATGGCTCCTCCTGTAACGAGGGAGGGCTTTCTGATCTGCCTTCCTAGCCTCTTCCTGCGCAGCTCCTCTGCAGAGGAGATGTTTACCAGTCTGTTTATTCGTAGCAAATAGGTCAAGAACGATGCGTAGCAAGGACAGCTAGTTTCATTAGGAATGAGTGTCTTGCTGTAGTTGGAAAGTGTGTGAAACTCAGCTGTACTGCTGACTGTACCAGCATTTCTCAGAGCTTTCAGCTGTGAACTTTGGACAGTGTTGGGTAATGTCGTGCTAGATTTACTATCTTCGCTACAGGGAACAAGTTTTATGAGTCCACTTTGTTTTGCTGTGGCTTTACAGCTGTTTTTTGGACTGAGCCAGGGCAAGGGAGGGGTGACACCCTGGCAGGCCAGCCTGGCCTCAGCTGTGGCAGAGTCCATACCTCGCAGGGGCGAGTGGTGGATCCAAACACAGAGCTGGTGGTTCTGCCGTGGGTTTGGGCTGTGCTGCTCTTGTGGCTGGGGGGCTTCTGTCCAGGTTTGCTTTATTCTGCCTTTGTGAAGTTGGGCAGTCTTCTCCGGGCTTCAACAGGAAAAACTTTGTGCTGGGGGGGGAATGGTTGAAAGCCACAGGCGTGTTTGTGTTTCTTTCGACATGCCTGGGAGCCTTGTCACACGTTGGTGCTGGGTTTGGTTTGCCTGTGGCGCGGTTGCTTCGGGGCCTGCGTGTGACCTGTGCTGTCTGCAGGACACGTGTACTGCGCAGGTATCGCTGGCGGCTCCGGCCTCGTGAGCGGGAGGAGGTCGCTCTTGGTGGTGCCTCTGCTCCGTTCCACTGCTGAGTGGCGCTGAAATTGCCTGATCCTGGGCTGCGTTATTGGTGATGCAGAGACCACCGGGGTTGGAAAGCATAAAAACTCCTGTCCACTTGTAAATTCATTTGTCAAAGTTAATCTGGTGCCTCTGTGGGAAAAGAAGAGGTGGTTAACACTGGGGAGCCTGTAAACAGGCCAAGGTTGGTTGGGCTGATGGTCTCTGCTTTGTTTCTTTCTGTCTGTAGGCTCTCTTTGTGCTCTTCATCCTGGCTTACATTCACATCGCCTTCTCCCGCTCGCCCATTAACTGCTTGGAGCACGTGCGAGATAAATGGCCGCGCGATGGCATCTTGCGTGTGGAAATACAGCGCAACTCGAGCCGAGCTCCCATCTTCCTGCAATTCTGTGGTGCTGAGAAGTTCCCAGGAATGGTGGTTGAATCCACAGCTGAGGAAGAGGAGGAGGAAGAGGAGGAAATGACTGTGGATATGTTTGAAAACAGCTCTATCAAGGTAAAGACATGTTCCTTGTGTACACAGGAGATGGGAACCTGGTTGTCGGTCTGGGGAGAAGTGGTTTGTTAGTGGAGCCAGCTTAGGAATGCCACAGCCCCTCTGTGATCCCTCGGTCACCTGGAGACAGAGCGTGTTCCTTGGCTTTTCCTGAGTCTCCACGTTAGCCTCTGGTCATTTAAGATAGGGAGTAAAATCCGAGAAAGTGGCCTCTGTTGTCCTCCTTTTGGTGGTGGGGGCCGTCGCTGGGGGCACAGAAGACAGGAGCTGAAGTGACTGCTAACGTGACTTTCCCTGCTGTGGTTTTCCAACAGTTTGAGCTGGATATCGAGCCCAAGGTGTTCCTCAAGCCATCCCGGGTGAGCAGCACCGAGGTGCTGACCCACAATGAAAGCCAGGAGTTGTCGTTTAGTGAAGCAGCCACTAAAGGTATGCAGCCTCTGAGGGAGACTGTGTCCGAGTTTGAGATGCTAGCCAGAGCAGGTAAAGACAACTTACGCTGCTATCTGTGCTCTCTCCTTCCCCTGCCCCGTGCATCTTCCCTGCACGTCTCATTCCTTCGGGCTTCTCTGGGCACGTGCATAGTTACCTTAAATGTCTTCCCTGATGCTTTCGCCCGTGGTTAATCTTTTCAGTACTAACGACAGATCCACAGCAGGATCATTCCTTCAGCTGGAGGGAGGCTGGGAGCTGGGGGTCATCTGGGCTGTAAAAATTGCTGAAGCCTCTCGGTCTGGGATCGTGTTTCTGTAGTGATTGGTGCCAGATATCTCAGATGAATGTGAACCTCCCTCTTCTGAGCAGTTCGCCACCCTCTTGAGATCTGCAGCGATCCCACCGACAGCGCACGTTCCTCCTCGCATCAACAGGCTTTGGGCTGCATTTTGGGTCTCTGAGTCAACACCAGTACTTGGAACAGCTGCTTAGTCCTGAAAGCCACCAAGCAAGTTTTAGTGGATTGCGAGACACAGCACGGCTGTTGTGCATCGTTCGGGATACCATCCTGCTTTATCCCTCCCCTTGTTGCAGCACGACTTAAGCTGCTCATGTCTCATAAACTCCAGAGGGAGATTTAGTGGCTTTGTATTATTTAAAATGGAATTACAGTCTTGGAAAATTCTCATGATTACGGGAGGAAATCTGTTAAAAGTATTTATGTTAAAATAGAAACACGGCAATTGTATTCTTACTTAATTTGCCTTTTTCAGCTACACTTTTATCCCTGGAAAGACTGGAATTCTTTGCTCTTCGGAAGTACTGGGAGTTCTGGCTGTGGAGGACTGTGAGGCTGGACGTTGCAGTGGCACTGTTCCCTTGGTCTTGCAGTGCTTTTGCTTGGTGCTGATCCAGAACTCATTAGTCCTGAATTTAAGATCGTTAGGTCGCATAAGACCAGAGAGCAGTAAACATTTTCTGGTGCAGTATGTTTACCGGTAGTTGTCTGAGTTGTGTCAGGGAGTCACGTTGTACAGAGCTGTGTGCCCTGGCGGGCTGTGCCTTGATTTGCCGAACGCCTGGTTGGAAATGAGCCAGCAGCGCGGTGGGAGAAAGAATCACGCTGCTTCCTGATGTAGTTGAATTATTCATCTTTTCAGACGGGGCCCAAATCCCCACATCCCTGGTTTTATTGTTTTTCCAGGTTTCTTGTACTATAACTACACCAAATGTGATGTCTGGACAGAATATTTTACCATGGGAAAAGGTTTTGTGATACAAACGAAGTAATTATTTTGTTGATATTTAAACACTTTATTTGAGCTTAAAACTGTGATGGTTTTATAATGGAAACGAAGGAAGAAACAGACAGACCAGCCTGTGTTTGCTGCCTGGGAAGCGGGATCAGAGGCAGGGAAGTAAGGTGGGCGTTTCTGTCAGTGGTGTGTCGCTGTGAGTCAGAGGAGGCAGGTACATTTCTGCGAAGTGATTATCTCCTTCGCTGTTTTGCTGTGGTGTTGTGAGGCGCCTGACAGCTGCCTCCCACAGGTACGCTCTGACAGTTGGAAAGATCAGGGATTCAACTGCTTGGCTCTGACTTGGCAGAGGTTTTGTCTTTTTGTAACAAAAAGCATCTGTTTTTAACCTTTCTTTAAAAAAAAAAAAGAAAAATCAAGGAAACTTCAGGCACCGCGGTTTTTTTGGAAAGCCATTATTGCTGCTGCCTTTCGTTTTGAGATTTGTAATTGCAGGAGTGACCTCTGTCTCCGGAGAAGCGCGGTGCGCTTGCCCTGTGGTGTTCAGCAAGTGTAAAGTGTATTTTCCTGCTGCTTCCTAAACAACATAGAAAGCAGAAATTGAACAGAGCAAGAAGTGGTCTAGGTCTCGCCAGGCAAAGCTGTGGGCAGACCCTGGACAATGCTCGATAGGGCCTGGAACTGCTGCCCTGAAGCTTTCCCAGAGGTTTCACGTTAAGGACTCATGTCAAGGGAGTAGGCTGCAGTTTCAAAGAATTTGTATTGATTTGTTTTAAATTGATTGAAGGAAGCCCAGAGCTTGTGTTTGCAACTGCTTCTCTTTCCCAGAACGTGGTGGGAGGGAGGGAATCCAGAGGTGCTGTTTCTTCTTGGTAGCTGCTCGCAAACCCTGCTGTTCAGTCTCCCTCCCCCCTCTCTTGCAGTGTGGCCGCAGGAGGAGTACATTGTGGAGTACTCGCTGGAGTACGGGTTTCTGCGCCTGTCCCAGAGCACTCGCCAGCGCCTCAGCATCCCGGTCATGGTGGTCACTTTGGGTGAGTGAGGGAGCCAGCCCACTCTGGTGCAGGGATGGGTGAGTGCTCTGCAGAGGTACCTACCTGCAGTTTCCTCTTTAGTCTTGTGGAGACTATTTATGACAGTTGATGGCGCTCATTTTCCACGTAGGAGAGCTTCTTTGTTGCTTTAGTAGGTCATACCTTTCGAGGAGGAGTAGTCTGAAATGGTGGAGCCTGTTTCAGCGAGCGCTGGTGTTACGTCCAGCGCAGTTTTCTCACTGAGGAAGGAAGAGTCTCGTAGTACTGAAGATCTAGGCTCAGTGGGGAGCAGCAGCAGCACAATGTTAGAGCCCAGTGGCGAGAGCAGTTGTGCGTGTGTCAGGGACGATGCTGAGCAGATCTGCGTGGTGCTGTCCCAGCGTACCTCTGTGCCCCTCTCAGCACCAGCAGACCATTTTCCTGGACCAGTGTTCTCTTCTCCTGGCATTTGCTCCATTAAAACCTGTCCAGGTCAGGAATACAATCTCAAACCTTCTTATGCCTGTGAACTTAATTGCTCTGTGACAGGCTGTTAGTGCAGCAATCGGACTACTGTCATTACTTACTCCTAATCAAGCTGAAGTACAGCTGGGCTGAGCATTAAGCAGTGATCCTATATAGGTAATGGGCAGTTTCCATGTTAAATGACTGTTTACTGTCTTGGGTTTTCCAGTTCAGCTAGACAAATTTCTTCATAAGTATTCTAGTAATCCACTGAAAAATTTTCTGTTCATGCTTCCTGTTTTGCTTAGATGTGGGTTATTTTTGCGAGCTGGTCAGTGTTCATGCAGTAGAATGCAGTGCCAGCTTCGTGAGAGAGAACTGAGCAGCCTTCCTTAGTGCCCCGAGCGGTGGGGAGGCGTTCGGTGTCCTCTGCCGCCGGGGGCTGGGGGGGAGAGTGGGGCCCAGCAGGGTCGTGCTGAGCCTGGCTGATGGCTGAAAAGTCTCGGCCTGGCCCTCTGAGTCTTGCCAGGACTTGTTTCTCCGGACCATTAGTTGGGATGAGCCTAGGGAGATAGTCCAAGCCTAGAAGGCAAATTCCCTTTATGTCGGTGCCAACAGAGAGTATGACAGGCCTGATGTAATTCTGAAGTCTTGATTGACATTAGCATTTCGACAGCGTGGCTAGATTTGTCAGGGTGTGACACCTTTAATGGCACCTTCAAGTTGCGTCTGGGCAGGTTTAGATTGGCTATTAGGAAAAATGTCTTCACTGAAAGAGTTGTGAGGCATTGGAACAGGCTGCCCAGGGACGTGGTGGGGTCACCATCCCGGGAAGGCTTCGAGAAACGTGTAGATATGGCACTTCTGGACGTGGTTTAGCAGGCATGATGGTGTTGGGTTGATGGTTGGACTTGGTGATCTTAGAGGTCTTTTCCAGCCTTAATGATTCTATGATTCGATTCTATGATTTTCCCTCCCAGTCCCACCCAGTTTATTTACTACCAAAGGTCCGAGCGCAGACACAGGTCTGCTGGCAAATGAGTCCTCAGACGACGGTACGCTTGTCTTGCCGCCTCTGTGGCTTGAGGGACAAACAATCTGAGTGGGTTTTTTGCTTTCTCCCTAGATCCTACCAGGGACCAGTGCTTTGGGGACAGGTTCAGTCGCCTATTGCTGGATGAGTTCCTGGGTTACGATGACATCCTGATGTCAAGTGTCAAAGCGTTAGCTGAAAATGAAGAAAACAAAGGTAAGGCTTGGAGGAGTAGCTTTCAGCGGCTGTGCGGAGCAGTGGGTGTGTTTTCATGATGCGTGAATATCATCTTCTGACTGTTGATTAATGTCTAATGCGGGGAACACTTCCCTGTGTTATGTAGGGATCTTGTGGTCAAGGACAAACCGAAATGCGCAGGAGAGGAGAGGTGTCCGCAGATGTGACTTCCTGCAGCCTGACTGCACTGCATAACAATGAGTGCAGCCGTGAGGAGGTGCTGCCGTAGATTTACTTGGAGTCCTGTTCCTTTAGAAAGCACTGGAGGTTTGTTCTTGGTTTGTGCGTTAATCACACTGAGCTCGTGTGTCTGTTTTTTTTCCTCCAGGTTTCCTTCGCAATGTGGTGTCTGGGGAGCACTATCGCTTTGTCAGCATGTGGATGGCCAGGACTTCGTATCTGGCAGCCTTTGTCATCATGGTCATATTTGTAAGTCGATAGGAGCTGGGCATTGCCTGGACTCTGAGCCCGGTGCTGGTCAGCGTATGTTTGATGCAAGCGCAGGCCTGAGCTCTGGTCTGATTTTAAAGCTAAGCTGATGGAGTATGAGGTTCTACTCTGTTTTTTTGTTGTTTTTTTTTAGTGTGGGTTCTGAAAGTCCTAACAGTGAAACAAAGAGAGGAGCTGAAATAGAATGAAGTAATGGTTTTGTTGTGGCAAGGGAGATTCATGTTAGAGAGAGTCTCTAAGCGTAGTTAAAACACTCAGGCTGCCAAGGCACAAGGTGCAGAAGTTTGTCCTCTGAGACTTTTAAGAACAGGTCGAGCTAATTTGCCAGGAGTGATCAAGATAGAACCAAGTCTCCTGTGATGATGTGTGAGACGAGGTGATTACAGAGAAGTGCTGGGCAAGATCCCAAGAGGTAACTGAGCCTGTGCTCATAGTCTTGGGTGACGGTCTCCCTTTGTGTCTGACCGTCCACTGATGCAGCTCCTTGTACAATAACAGCGTGGCCGGTGAGAGGAGGAGGTGGGTGCTGGGTGGGTGTTGTCGGAGAGGCGTCAGGAGCTGCTGGGAGGAGCGCAGATGTGGGGCAGGAAGAATCCCTAGCCCCAGCTCTGCTGCTGCTGTTTGGTTTGGCCCCTGCTCAAATATTCAGAATCAGTCTCTTTACAAACAAATTACTTACTGACTATTTCACTGCAGTAATACAAAGATTAATTGGTGTTTGTGAAGTGCTAATTACTCTTTGGGAAGTCGGTCTGCGTAGCTCAGGCTAACGCATGTGGGATATGCACAGCGTGCCGTGCAACGTCGCAGGCCCAGGCTTGCCTGTCCAGGCCTCGGCGTGATTCCGGAGGCGACTCCCGGACCTGTGTGGCTCTGACGCTGGCTTCTGTTCTCGTGTTGCAGACTCTGTCCGTTTCGATGCTGTTGCGCTACTCGCACCATCAGATCTTTGTCTTCATTGGTAAGGATTTGCTGAGGGATTTAGGGTGTGCTGCACACTGTGCCTGCCCCAGCACAGTCTGTCACGTACATACTCTTGACTGTCATTGTTCAGAAGGGTCCTGCGTGTTGCTACAGCGGGAATATCCCCCCCTCCCGTGCCCCCGTCACCGTGCTTGAGCGCGCTGTTCTGTCCCTTGAGAAGTATCGGGGACAGGGACTCGCGGCGCTCTGAATGGGGACTGATGTGGGGGTGGAGGGTTCCGTGGCCCCACGTCCGCGTTGCACTGCAGTACGTTTTCCTTCTTGCAGTCGACCTGTTACAGATGCTGGAAATGAACATGACCATTGCGTTCCCTGCGGCTCCCCTCCTCACTGTCATTCTGGCTCTCGTAGGTAAGGACATTAGCTCACTGCTTGTGTACATGCAGCAAGTCCCTGTGGGGTCCGTACAAAGTACAGCTCCCTGTTCTGACCTGGCTGCGGCGGGCGGTTTGTCTGTCCGCTCATCACGGGGGGGAAGGCTCTGGAATCTGATGGCACAGTGAGCGGCATTGTCCTGCTGGGTCCCCTGGAAAAGCAGTTTGTTTGGAAATCACGTAAACCAAAGCTTTGTCTGTCACTGAGTTCATTTCGGATTCACACTGCCTGTGACCACCTGGCATTAGCACAGTTTGAATTTAAAAAACAAAGGACAGCAAAACCCCGAAATCTGCGCTGCCTGGAGCCAGCTGCTCCTCTGGCCTGCGGCTGCAGTCAGCAGTGAAACGTGTTTGCCCTTCGCTGCTGCTCCGGACAGAGCAAACGTGCGCTGCTGCGCAGCCCTCCCGTCCCGGTCCCGGCTGCGGAAGGAGCAGGATCCCTTCACGTGCCCTTTGGGGAGCCCTTTGCCGAGCTGGTGCCCGTGCCCTGCGGCACGCTGATGCCGGACACTCTCTGTCCCGCAGGTATGGAGGCCATCATGTCAGAGTTCTTCAACGACACCACGACAGCGTTTTACATCATCCTCATTGTGTGGCTGGCTGACCAGTACGATGCTATCTGTTGCCATACCAATACGAGCAAGAGGCACTGGCTCAGGTGAGAGCTGGCTGGGACCTCGTTCCTCTGGGCCGTGTTCTCGCTGTGCGTCCCGGTCTCTGGTGGGAGGCTGCTTCGGGTCCTTTCCAGCCCTCCCAGGCAGGAAGAGCCTCTCTGCGCCTCCCTGGGAGCCGCTCTGTGTCTCACAGGGTCCAGAATGCGATTGCTTCCATGTGGGGTTTGTGCCCGGGTATCAAGAATCCCTTCAGTCCTTTCCCTGCCCATTGTTTTGCCCTGTTGAAGGCCTGTCCATAGCGAGGCAATTCTAATTACCTGGTAATGGGAGTCTGCACCACCCTGTGCCAGGTGCCCCAGCCCAGAGCGGAGCTGGGGTAGACAGAAACTCAGGTTTACCCTGTCCATTGCCACGTCCTGATATTCAGTGCCTTTCTGTCCAGGTTCTTCTACCTGTACCACTTCGCCTTCTATGCTTACCACTACCGATTCAACGGGCAGTACAGCAGCCTGGCTCTCGTCACCTCGTGGCTCTTCATCCAGGTGAGTTTGCCTCGCTCGTTGCTCACACTGGCTGTGCTGCTAAAAAGTGTAGGAAATCAGCTGCCGTTCGGGCTCTATCGAACTTCTTGTCAAGCGGAGTGTGAGTAGCGATCTTTATTTATACACGAGATCAAAATAATCCCTGGTTTGGAAATGGAACAGCAGCAGGCTGTCGAGCAGCAGGACATTTTGGTCACTGGCTCACATCCAGCCAGGCTGGAATCAGGTGGGTTGTGGAGGGGGTTCGGGAAGGATTTCTGCCCCGTCTTGCTGGAAGAAATCCCACCGAAGATCTGCTGTGCAGAGGCTGAGGAGAGGGTCAGGTCTGTGCAGTGAAGGTGCTGGCGAGACCATCCCCAAACTGATGGCTCCGATATCCTGGTTCAAGCAAAGCTCTGGGGTGTCTCTGGCTGTTGACCTGCCCCCTTCCTCTGCTGCAGGATGGAGACAGCGACCTGGGAGGGGGCCAGAGAAATGCCTTTACCCGGCTTGTTCCCAGCCCTTAAAAGGGAAGGGGGGTTGTACTCCATTGCCGGTCTTTGTGGAGAAACGATAAAAGCAGCTTTCAGAAATCGTAGTGGAGGGGTAAGGGGTCTCCAAAATTTCGGGTGGCCTCTTGGCTGTCAGAGCAGCCGAATTCTCCAGTCGCTGTCTTCGCAGCAAGAGGAAAGCCTGGCTTTCTTAAGGTACGTCTGGGCTCGCAGCCCAGGCCCGGTGAGTGACGCCTTTCCCTTTGCCTTCTCTAGCATTCGATGATTTACTTCTTCCACCACTACGAGCTGCCAGCCATCCTCCAGCAGATCAGGATCCAGGAGATGCTGCTGCAGAACCAGCAGGTAGGCCAGGGCACCCA